CTCAAGCGAGTCTCCTGCCTCAGCCTCCCAAGTAGCTAGGACTACAGGCGCCCGCCACAACACCTGGCCATTTTTTGGTTGCAGTCATCATTGTTGTTTGGCGGCGGGGCTGGGGATTTGAACCCGTCACCTTAGGTGTATGTGGCTGGCGCCTTAGCCTCTTGAGCCACAGGCGCCCAGCCAGTTTAACTAGTCTTGATCCAAGTTGGAAGTGGTGATTAGGAGCCCCCAGGGGTCAGACTACTCAGGTTTGAATTCAACCTAAGCCAGTCCTCTTGGCTTCTTTCTGTGCCTCTCTGCTAACCTTAAAAAGGGAGATACTTTTATTTTCCGTGTGGTTACCATGATATAATGCATGTGAAGTAATTATACTGGCTGGCACTCTGAGAAGTGCATATTGAAAAGTTAACCCAGGTTCAAGGAAATATTAAAGAGGAAATATTATTCATGCAAAACCCCTTTTAAATGTCTTTATTCAGGACACAGACAATTCCCAGAAAAGAATGTGCATAGAGTCCACCAAGTTCCTTTCCTCATGCAGCTTTGTTAAGTATAATTTGCCCTAAGTAACAATAAATATTAAGAAAAACAATTTATTTGGCTTTCAATTCCTTTCGGTACTGCTAAAAACAGGTGGCTTTTTACCCCCCCAGCATTGTTTATTAGCACCTTAGTTACAAGAAAGATTTCAAAACGGCCCAACTGATGAGTTGTGCATTTATCTTCCACATGCTGCTTCCACAATCTCAAGAGATTTTTCACATATCCAAAAAGTCAAGTTGTTTTTTACTTAACATTCATCCAGGAGATGAAAAGCCTGTCCTATTTTTCCTTTGTGTTTGACTTTTAAAAATAGTCTTATCAGTGTGGTCCAAGATCAACTTCATACCTCATCTACAAAAGTACTTTACTTCACCAAGACAGCCTTGAAAAAAGAAATGGATGGTTCCTTCCATCTGATGGAAATACGGAATACTGCCCTGTTTATCAACACATCCTCTGCACAGATTAATGGAAAAACTGTATCCTAATACCACTTCACACTTGGAGAGTTCCTTTCACAAACTGTCAAGAACACTTTGATTCCACTGAAATCTTTCTGGACTACAAACGATTTAATATGAATCACAGACATGAAACTGCTTTTAAATTTTACTTGTTTTTCTTTCATAGTTCTCAAATATGCAGATTTGTGAAGGTGGAAAAGCAGTTATTTTATCAAACAACTGAAAAACTCACACGTAAAGCATACCTGTTATATGAACTTTTTTGTGTATGGAATGTTATGTATGTTACACAGTAAAGAAAGGAAAATTAAAAAATAGAGGGCTCTAGAATACAACTTCTGAAATTAGGAAAACTAAAGTTCATTTGCATCATATATATGTATCCTTTAGTCACACAAGCATTTTTTTTATATATAACTCTTGAACAGCAGCTAAATCAGAAAGTACAATTTACTTCTTCACACTAGTGGGAACTGGCAGAATGCAATCCCAATCATTAATGGGTAAAGTTCAAGACTAACAACTTTTAAAGGGAAAAAAAAAGCACAATTAATACATTCTCAATAATTTAAAACAGTACATCACATCTTCGGAATTAGCCTAAAACTTTAAGCATAAACATATCTACTGTACACATCAAATTACACATTTCCTTGAGCCAAATGGTTTTATCTTAAAGACCCAATTACAAACAAATTACAAACGTAAGTACTCTTTTTAACGTTCCTACAAGTATGAACAGAAACTTGTTTTTACCTTTATAACAACTTAAGAGAACTTACTAGCAAAGTATTATGAAACCCAAGTGTCCTACCCTGGGCCGTTGCAAAAGAGGCTTGCTAAGAAATTGAGGCAAATTCTCAACACAGAAAGTACCCAAAGGAGAAGTAATAGCTGAAAGCAAAAAATTCAGTAACAGACTAAAAGCAATAGAAATTCTAATCTACACTCGCAACTCTTACCCTTGACAGCACAGAACAGAATATCCCATCTTACACATTTTGAAATGGCCACTCTGAAACGCTAAATCCAAAGACAAAGCTGCCCTGGGGAAAATAACAATTGCGCAACAGATCAACAGCTCCAACATGTCCCTTGGCCCCAGAGCGGCAAGGTTTGCACGCTATAAAGCAGGAAAGGGCCAACCGAGGGCCGCCGTGACAGCCAACCGGCCACTTTCGCTTAGGCAAAGGCCACGCACGCCGCGTGCGCCAGCAGGAGGCGCCGCGCCCGGAACTAGAAGGTGCACTCGCCCACACTTCCCGCCGCGTTGCTAGGGGCCAACCCCCAATCCCCGAGCCCGAACCTCTTCCCCGGCTCGGGGAAACGCGTGAGCCCCGGTCAGGCAGCCAGACGTCGGGGCACTGGAGCGCGCCGGGCACTTCAGGACATCCCCCTCATGCCCGGAGACTGGGCTTTCTAGAAGACACGGCTGCCCAAGAGCGCTCGGAGTGCCCGATGACTTCGCAAAGAAGTGCCCATAGACGGCCCTCGGGTGAGCGCGCCGCAGCCCGCGCTCGCGGAGGTCTAGGGGCCTGGAGTCGGGTGCAGCGGCAGAGAAGGGGCTGCGGGTCCCAGCCCAGAGGAGACCTCAGCTCCCCCAAGAGCGGCCCCGTGACTAGGCACATTTTTGCCGGCGCCGAGGCGGGGGAGCAGTACAGCCCGGGAAGGGCCGGGCCGCGCCGGCTCAGACCGCCAGCGTCCGCCCCCTCCTGCCCGGCCGCTTGCGGGGCTGCTCAAACTCAGGGATCCCGCCTCCTGCTCTAGGGACGCAGCTAAGAGACGCCCCCTCGCCCCCGGCGCGCGGGCGCAATCCCCAAATCCCCATTTGGCCGTCCTCTGAGGCCGCAGGCTCGTGGTCGGTCTGACTCTCTGGCCATGTCCCCACTCCCTCCGCTGCCCCTCGGGTCACCGCCGCCCCTCCCCGCCCAGCGCGAGCGCTGCGGCTCCAGTGCGCGGCCGCTGCAGTCCTGGCTCTGGCCAGACGGCAGGAAGAGCCGGCTGCGGTTGTCCCTCCCGGGCAGCGGTTCCCTAGCTTCTCTGTCCCCGTCCCGGCACCACCGCAGGAGCCCGAGGGCCGGGGCAGCACCTGCTGGGACGGCAGTCCCGGCGGCGGCAGCTCCAAGTCCATCATGCTGAGATGGGGACCGTGTATTGGGGCTCTTCGACGGCGGCCCTGCCCTGGCTGCCGAGGCGAGGCGTGGACAGGGTAGCACAGTTGGCGGCG